GCAGCCTCGCCCTGCTGGACTCCGGTGATCCTTCCACCTCAGCCTTCCGAGTAGCCGGAATTACAGGCATGCGCTACCACGCCCGGCTGATTTTTTGATTTATTGTAGAGATGAGGTCTCGCTCCCCAGGCGGGTCTCGAACCCGCGGGCTCAGGCAATCCACTCACCTTAGCCTCCCAAAGGCACGGGATTACAGGCTGAGCCACTGAGCCCGGCAATTTTTTCATTTATCGTAGAGATGAGTTCTTGCCATGTTGCCCAGGCTGGTCTCAAACTCCTGGGCTCAGCCCATCCTCTCACCTCCACCTCCCAAAGTGCTGAGATTGCAGGCATGAGCCACTGTGCACAACCCTACCCTATATTAGTTTTTATACAGACTTTTTTTTTTTTTTTTTTTTTTTTTGAGTTGGAGTCTCACTCTGTCGCCCAGACTGGAGTGCAGTGGCCGCTCCCGGCCACCACAATCTCGCCTGCTGGGCTCCGGCGATCCTTCCGCCTCAGCCTTCCAAGTAGCTGGAATTACAGGCATGCGCTACCACGCCCAGCTGATTTTTTGATTTATTGTAGAGATGAGGTCTCGCTGCCCAGGCGGGTCTCGAACCCGCGGGCTCAGGCAATCCACTCACCTCAGCCTCCCAAAGGCGCGGGATTACAGGCTGAGCCACCGAGCCCGGCTCTATACAGACTTTTAAACTTCTCCTTCAGAGCAGTTGCCAGTTTTGTTCTGTTTTTGACTGAAGTCTATACATTATGTTTTGTGTCCCTCATGCCTGGCTTGAAATATAATCAGTGTTCAAGGCTCTAAGCATCTATGCTGTGAAAGAAAACAATTATTCAAAGATACCTGTAAAAGCATAGCTAGAAATACTTTATTCAGTATCATCATGATAGGTGCATGGGATTTTGCAGTGGGGGAGAGAGATTGGGCTCAACTCTGAATACTTTATGGACAAGTGAAGTTTATAGCCCAGCAGCAGGGTGGGGGATCAGCAGATAAAAAATACTAAGAGGAAACAGAGGTAAGGGGGATTCTGGTTGAAATGACCTATAGGATTCTTGTTGAAGGTAGGCCAGTGTGATCAGATATCCCCCAGGCATGGTGAAGGCTGAGGAACCTGATCATATATCAAGGGTGGGGGATTCTGGCTAAACTGACTTGACAGGATTCTTGCCGAAGACAGGCCAGGGTGATCGGACATTACCTGTGGGGTGGTGGAGGATGAGGAACCTGATCCGATATCGAAGGTGATCAGA